AATCCCAATGATTATTGGTCTTCATTCCTTTCACCCTAGATGGAATTGTATTTTCCTTTCACTCCATTTCCGTTTAAACTTTCTTTTCCAATTCCTTTAAACAGTCTGTCTTGGCTGCCGAGTTTGCAAAGGCCTCTTGTTCTCTTTACTGTGTTTTTCTCACACCCCTCTGAAAGCCACAGGGTCAAAACAATGCTTCTAATCTCATTTGAAATCCCTTGTGTACTTTGTTTAGTTACGTTTTTGTGCCAGTGTTTTTGACAGATTTTTTCTTGTAAGTGGGGGTTGCAGTTTCTTCTCTGGGGTTGAAATTCTGGTTTCATAGAAATCAATGTAAAGCTTCAGTCAGAACAGGATTATGTTGAGAATCCTGAAAGAAGAAAGATTGTTACTGCTTCTTGTTCCCACATTTCTAGAGTTTTAGTAGACTGTATAGAATTTTGAGAAATAGGAAAAACATTCTAGGTGAGAGTACAGGTAAGAGCAAAATTTCTTTCACTCTGTTTCAGGAGCATGGGTTTGAATTTTTTTCAGATGTATTGAACCACAGTGGATTTTTTCCTTTAGCTATAAATAGTACATTTGTTTTTTCTGCCATTCTGCCATCTTTATTTATACTGAGTGTGCTCCAAACCCCTCTGTAGTTAGTGGAAACACTCTCAGTGAACTCAGTGAACTCATCTCAGAGTTTCCCTACTCCACCTGAAGTCAGAGGGAAATTAGAAAGGCTGCCTGTGGCATGAGAGACTGATGGTTTGAGGAGAGAGAGAGAAGTCTGCCTTTATTCTGTGCTCTTTTTCCCATTTGAGGGAATGTTGCTTTAGGATGTAAGAGGACTCTGCTTGTGCTTCAGTCCCAATCTGTCTTGATCTTATGTTTTGCACTAATGGCAGATACTTAATCCATATTCTTCTGATTCTTGTAAAATAGCTAAAGGCAATAAAAGCCCAAATACATTAAATGAACCACACAACAAAAAAATTAAGAGCTGATGCTTTGAATGCAGGCAGAGGTAAGAAATGGTGGTGGGGACCCACCTGTCTATTTCTTTCTATATACCACGGAACTCTCATTTGGGACACCTGGCAAAAATTGTATAGTGGAAAAATAAGCGTTATCATTATGAGATCTCTCTAAACATGGACAAGAACAGGTGAGAAATTCAAAATTAAAAAAAAAAAAGCAACAACTCTTTGACAGGATGATTCTTTTGTAACAGGAAGCTCATTCCTAACTAGAACTGTGCATGAGACACCAGGCACTCCAAGCTGAATTTGTTGCGCTCACTGTGCCCTGGGGGACACTGCTGACCAGTTAGGAGGATCAGCAGAAGAAACAATAAAGCATTTTTATTAGCCTTGAAGTCAGACCAGTGGGAATTTTCCAGAGAAGGGCCTACCCTAGTCCTCTTTCATTAACTTCCTCCAAACTATTTGGTAACAAGGGAAACAAAAACAATCAGAAGAAGGGGGGCCAGAAAACCCCATCGTTTGTTAATTACGTGGGTGTTTTGGAACTGTCAAAATGTGGTAGCTCCACAGCACTTCTGTCAACCACTGGGTATAAGTGCTTGTGGATATCTTGTCCCCATGTCAGGAAACTGCACTGCTCTTTGGACATGAACTGTATTTTGCCAATGGCTTATCATGGAATGGTTTGGGTCAGAAGGGACCTTAAACACCACATGGCTCCAGCTTCGCCTTCCACCGGACCAGGTTGCTGAAAGCTTCAGTCTGGACTGGAACACCTCCAGGGATGGGACAGCATTCCACTTCCATCCACAGTTTCTCTGGGCTGTTCCAGTGTCTCACCACCCTCACAGTAGAGAATTTCTTCCTGGTACCTAATTTAACCCTGCCCTCTGTCAGTTTAAAGCCTCTCCCCCTTGCCCTGCCACCTCATCATGATGATCATTGCATCCAAAGGTCTCAGACAAAACAAAGGCACTGTGCAAATGTGCACTGAGAGACAGAGATTTCAACAGAAGAAATGCTTTGAGTTATTACTTGCATCTGATATTCTCACTGGAAGGGCTGTATCTGCTGCTGTCAGGTCAAAGAGTTTTTTGTTTCTCTCACTGTCCAGGAATGCTGCTGCAGCAGCAGCAGCAGTCATCCCAGGTGAGGGATGATGGCCCACTGCTTAGTTTGCTGCCCTCTGGTTCAAGCTCTGAGTATTTTAATCTGACAGAAATAAAGATCAGGAATCTCCAAGAGTGCTATTGGCTGCTAGATAACAACACTTCTAGAAACTTCTTTGAGTTACATTTTTCCTCTTGTGTCTTACTCTGGTCTGCTGTAAAGGATAAACACCTAAACCCTTGATTTCAATGGGAAATAGATACATAAGTACCTTTAAAGATTTGATTTAACGCTGGATCTAATAGGCACTGAAATAACAGCATGCCCTGAATTGATTTTTGCTGAGCATACTCAGATCCTTTTAAACTAATGCTGCAGCTGAAGCTTTAGGCACTGCAGAAATGTGATTCTAAACCAGGGTTCTTAAGGTCACCTGGTTTTTAGGATTGTCTTTCAGTGAAGGTGAAACTACTTTTTTTTTTTTTAACTGAAGGCAAGTGCTTCTCAAAAGTTGCTACTACTTAAAGATAGCATCAATGGTTCAACAAAACTTTTACTGTGACTACTGACTTGAATTTTGAGAGGTTTTCTTGTATATCTAAGCCAAGAGACTCAGCTTATGGGTAGCTCTGTGTAATTTCTTGACATTTGGTTTTGAAGATAACCATAAGGATTTCAAACCAGTATAGTTAATCTAACTGTACACTATTCTTTCTTCAGTGTCTTTGCATGCTTAAAATAACCCAAAATTATTTCTGACTAAATATGCTTGTCAAAAAACTGGAAATACCACAGTTGATGAAATGAGAACAGGTTGGGCCAACTTTTTTTTTCTCTCCTTATAATTGCCAGTTATTGACTTCCTTTTTTTCAAGGTCACCAGAAAGCTATGGAAAACTTTATCCCAGAATATTGGGTTTACTGTCATTTTATGAAGAAAAAACTTAAAATACGTGAAGAACTTGCAGAGTCTCTGCCCTCAAGTCTCTTTACAAGAAACTATTTTTGTGATTAGATGCTGGACCAAGCTGCTCTGCAATTTTTCCACTGCTATTAACTGTAAATAACTTCCAGCCTTGGATTAACCCTTTTAGCTCCTGACAAGCAAAACTGTTCTGTATCTGCTGGGCATAATGAGAGAAACAGATGAGCTGGGAATTTGAAGCTGGGTCTGAGGCAGAGCTCTTTTTTGTTGGAACTGTGTTTATGAACTCTTCTGTAACTTTCTCATTCCTGACTCCCCTTAGAGAGTGCAAGTATTTTTATCGGGTAGAACATTTTTGGGAAATACATCCATGGTCGTGGCTGGATTTTGATCTTGTGCCTGCTGAAGCAAATGACAACGTTCTTGCTGGCCTTTGGGAAATGGTTGTGTGCTCTGCAGACATTGACCTGAAAAGACTTTAGGATCTCTCTGATAGGCCCAAGCTGGAAAGCTGTAGCTCTGAATTCAGTTCCTAATTCTGTGTAGCTGTCCAAAGGCAGCAGGACCTCAGATATGAGTGGGAGTGGATCCCGTAAATGCTAAAAAATTTAAAAAAATGCTGATAGGAATAAAAATAGGAATACTGGCTGAGTTGAGGAGTAAGGCAGCTCCTTTTGAGCAAGTCTTGAGAGGCAAATTATCTAGTCCTGTGCATTGCCTTCTGGAATGTCCATATAATGCCAAGATCGTGCCTCGGTCCTGACTCCTAAATCCTCTGCCATGGCTTAGTTACAGAGTGGAATCTGGCTGAGAATTTTCAGATGCCTTTGTGGACACTAAAGGCGATGAAAATACAAAGAAAAAGTCCATGCTTCAAAGTGTGTGATGATTTGGACTCTAAACATTCCAAGATTAAAGATGCTGCAATACTATGGAATCCTGTGTACCTGTCAGGCTGCAGCAGAGCTGATCTGTGTTTTAAATGCTCCAGTCACCCATACAAAGCTGAAGAGTGACCCTATCATGGATTTAAGAGATGCAGGCTTCCCTTTGCAGGGCAGGTTTCCATCTCTTCTTCTTTATCCACACCAGTGCTGTGAGGTCTCCTATGAAACACAGAGATTTCTTTTCACATTAAAACTCTTATCAGAGAAATACAGTATGAAGTGGATTAATTGAAGATCAATCTTATGCCACATATTATGGGTTGAGAAAGTTTTATATCTACTCTCACTTTGCCACAAAAGAGGGGAAAAGACCATAAGAAAATTCTTGTACTAAAAACATTCCCAGGCACTTTTGGTTTTTTGTTTTTTTGGGTTTTTTTAAAATTTTCCTTTTTAATGGGAATTATGCCACAGACAAGCTGGCTTATAAAGTTCATTAGGTTTTAAAAATATATTTCAGCCTCTCCGTCAGACAAAATTAAAATTTGGCAGGAGATCACGTGGGAAAATTCTGGCAGAGCTGAAAAGTGGTTCCAGTCTCCCCATGGTCTTTGGAGAAAGATTCTGGCTTTTCTCTTTCCTTCTGGGAGTTGAACAAAGTTCTCCAATTCAGCACCCACCAGCAGGATATTACCACTGGCTTGAATGAAAATTAGGTTGTGTATCAAAATGATGAGTAAATGTTTTATCACTAATTATCTGAACTGCACCCAACTACCCTGGCTGGAATGCTGGTCCTTAGGGTTTTCCATTGGACTTTTTATTCTCATTCAGGTCATGAGCATCTGTAGTGGAACTTCTGGATTTTGCAACCAAAATGTGGCTTTTCTTTCAAAACTAAACCTGTCAGCTTTCTGTTTCAACTATGGGGAGAGAACTGAGTCTCTCTTAAGTCTGTCCTCTATGTCTCTGCCAGCTACTTTCCTTCCACAGTGTTCCGACCCTCAAAAATAATCATGACAGCCAAAATAACTTGTCTTCATTGGAAGTTGTGATCAAAAAGAAATAGTACTAAATCTATATTTTTACTGCTTGTTTTTTTTTCAGAACGCCACTCCACAGGCTTCAGATCACTACCTGGGACACTGCTATGGTTGGAGCTGGATAAATCTTCTGTCCCATCCTCTTTGTTTAATCTGGGATTCTGAAATATATTCATGCATCAGAAAAGGTAAATGTAAAGCTTTTTGTGTTTTCATCCTGCAGCTTGGTTGTGCTGCTCATAAGGATGAGCCTGTAAGGTTTTGGGAGCCAGTTGGACTGGGGGTTCTGAGATGGAAATTGTTGTTTGTGCTGAGCCCCATGCAGCAGAACAGATCCCATTACAGGGCTGCATCAGGGGAAACAGCAGATGGTTGAAATGGACATAAAGAGGAGGGGAGATCAAAGAAGAAGAACTGGGTAAGGTTAAGATTGGCTTAGGCTGGCTCTCTCTAGCCCAATCCCAATATGATGTTCTGTATTTCTGTCTTCTGTGGAGGCATAGAAAGGAATAAACAATGAAAAAGAAACTTTAAAGTGTGGTGGTGGTGGGAAGTAGGGCAGATTGAAAACTATAAAGTTATATTATTGGTGCAGAAACCTTGGCTACGTATGGAGCCCAAAACTCTCATAATTTTCCTTCTCATAGGCAAGGCAACTGTGTATCCAAATTAAGCATCAAGGAGAAAATATTTTCTTTTCCAGATTAAGCTAGAAGACTAACATTTGGTGCTGGAAAGATACACTTCTCTGCTATGGTTTCTTCCTGATGAGTTTGCAAATCTTCTCTGAATTGTTAATTCACCCTTTCCATTTGAAATTTGAAAGGCAAAAGGTTTTATTTTACCATTTTGTCTATGCACACATGTCAGGGTGAAAAAAGGGGAAGGAGGAAGTAAGGCATGGAGATGGGCTCTTGTGTTTTGCTTTAAAGTCATGTGTTAAACATAACCCCTTTGCATTCATCTGTAGAAACAGTGTCAGTATCCACAGGGAGCTGCTGTGTCTGAACAAGACTGCTCAATTTGTTTTTGATTAAGCATAATTATTTATTGCAAGATATGGAGGTACTGGTAATACCATCTGAGTCCTGGCAGCGAAGGTGTGTGTTATGATTTGGCTTTGTTGTTTCTCTCTGTCTTGGTTTAAATGTATCTCCATCACCCAATTTTTTTGACAAATAAACAGGGATGTATTTTTGGGATGCAACTTAAAAAGCATTATTTATCCTGACCCAAAGAACAGCAAAAAGAGCAACCTTCAAAGATTTTTCTATAATGGAAATGAAACAATCAACACAGAAATATGAGGAAGAAATTACACCCATTAAATACATCTAGACTGATGAATGATATGATGGCTGCCTATTCAAGTTGGAAATTTTACACATGATTGAAGCTTTATTTAGTCTAATGAAATGTGCTTCCTGAATGCTGCATCTGAGTGACGGCGTGACCTAGAGCACAAAAGAAAGTATTATGTGATTAGACTGAGATCATTCTCATTTAAAGTCATTGTGATATAATTTTACATTTTTAATTAGCAGCATATACTTTTGTGTCCATTGCCTCTTTTATAGCGAATACCTTTTCAGGTCTTGTCCTTCCACAGGCTTGTTTGAAGCTCAGAACGGATTAACAGCAAAGGGGTTTGGAGTTCATTGATCCTTTTTTTTTCAATCCCCCCCCTGAAGTGGTGAATGGTGGGAGGGGAGAAAGCTGATCTTTCAGAATAGGCTCATCTTGTGCTGAATTTTTCCTGAGTTCCATAGGACACTCTATATATTTTAGCTTGAAATCCAGCTTAAATACCTTATTTGACCCATGAAAATATTGATAGTCACAAAATCGGTGAAATTAGAGTTATTGGTGAAGCAACTGATTCTAGAGATATTCCCCTCAAGATCTTGGCTCTGGCAGCTGGGATTTCATGAGGGTTGTGGCATTATGCTGACTGACATCACGGGAGTTTGGACCTACATCCTCTACACCACACATTTCTTACCCCACTTCACCTTTATGAGCTGGGCCTTTACTTTGAAGCCGTTTTGTGTACCAGGCTAGAAGGTAACTCCTCACACAGAAATCCAGTGTTTGGATTAAAAGCTATTAAAACACACTTGACTCGAGCAAAATTTAACGTGGTTCATAATACAATTTTATGAGCTATTGAGATTTCTGGCACCATAAAATGAGTTTGTTAATGGGTTTCATCAGTTGTTACTTAAAGTGATGTTAAAAAGTAATGAAGGGGGAAAAGTAAATGCAAGGGGTAAACTTGCTTCTCAAGTCTGCAGTTCTTTCCTTTCCTGGAGCATTAGCAGGGGTAAGCAAGCATTAAACAGGTTCAGTGTGCTGCCTTTGTGTGAAAGAGCTCGCTGCAGACCCCATATTTTCAGATGAATATGAACTTGCTGACCACAATCCTGACTTTTAGCTTGTTAGTGAGGTTGACTGATGAACACCCAGGACCAGACAGATAAGCCAGACACTTAATCTATCTACTGTATGTGTTCAGTCAGACTAAAGCTTTATCAATCATTTCAAACTGCATTTCAAGAGCATATTGTATAGCTTCTCGGAACAACCTTTCAGTAACAGTTTTTAAAATATTTCAATTTGAAATTTAGGATCATTTTCTTAGATCCTTTTTAACTCCCTGCATAGATATCTTCTTAATCTGGCTTGTATTCCCTGCTACAATGAAAAGAATAAAATTAAAAGAAGTATTATAAATGCATTTGCCAATTGCAGAATAAAATCTAATGCTGAGAGAGACAAAAAAAAAAATCCTTTCTTAAATGAGGCTTCCCAATTTTTTGCCTGTCTTTTTAAACTTTTTAAACTCTGTTTTTACACATACAGTTGTGTAGGCTAACCATGTATTTCATGAAAGCAAGGCAAAATGTTTGCAGGTAGGGAGGGCAAATTTGCCTGAATTTTTTTGGTGCTATTTATGGAATTTAAGCTTCAGATTTGCTCAAATCATTTTTGTTCTGTTATTGTCTGGCTTCAACTTCAAGACATGAGGTCCAACAGCCATTCCAAAATCTCAAGTTAGCATTCCAAATCTCATGTTAGCACTCTGGATTGGGACAAACTTAGGTATTTCCAACCAAGAGAGATTTGACTCCTTTTGGAGCCTTGCTGAGATGGCCACACCTACAGGCATAGACAACAGCCCAACCATTGGCTCCCAGGAATAAATTAAATACCATGGCCTAATTATTAGAAGCCTCCATATTTATGTCATCAGAATTTCATTGTTTTCATTGTCTTTACTTATTTTTGTACCTTTTTTTTCCTTGGTGGCCACAGTAAGTGTACATTGGCATGGTATGTGAGAAACTGGTGCAGCCTGTTTGAAGTCATAAAACAATTGCATATGTTTCAGCTTATCAAACCCAAGGGTTTTTTTCATTATTTTCCCCTCAAATTACATTTTGCAGCCTATTAAGCATCATTTTCTGATAATTGGTGAAGTCTGAGTGCAGTCTCTGTAGTACATAGCTGGTCTAGATTTGGGCCAGGCTTTGTGCATTATAAACCTGTCAACAAATCTTGTTTTCAGCTGTGGTGTAGCACTGAAGGGCAGCTGAGGAGGAGCCATGATAAAGTCTTTGGGACAAATTACACATCACAAATTAATTATATGTAATGCTTGGCATAACAAACATGAATTTTGGGCATGACCATAATACTTGTTCTTACTGCCAACAATTATCATCTGCTTTAAGTCATGTCTTGGATGAAGAGCGGATCTTGTGATGTTACGGTAAATGCACAGAATATGAATAAGCAGACACCTATGGGTTTAAGCTCTGCATGAGGAGATTAAGTACTTGACTGTGGATATACTTCAGGTGCATTCAGAGAAATTTGGTTTCCCATGTTAACTGCAGTGAACGAGGGGAATTATTTCCATGGGTTTCCGTGAACTTTTGGATTGAGGCCCAGAGCCTGATCTCATACTTTGCCTAGAGGAGATTTCTGAGAACATGCAGACTTGGGCATCCAAGGGACTAGCAATGCCAGAGTGGTTGTAAAGAGCCACAGCCAGGCCCTTTATTTACAAGTTAAATGACTTCCCCAGTGTGTTCTGGGGAGCTTTAGGCAGCTCATGGTTTGTTTCACCTACTTAACATCACACTGAGGAAGAGTTGAGTCCCTGTCCTTTGACAGACAACAGATCAGCTGGTTACAGATGTTGATCAGCTGTATAAAAACAGAGGGTGAGAGTACACTAGGACTGAACTTTTGGCTTTGTGGACTGTGGGAAAATTAGTTATACAGAATTTTGGGTCTCCTCTGCTGAAATGCAGCTCTTGATCACTGTAATTTTGGATGATGCCTAAATGGTTTCTCAGACTGTGCAAACCACAGGCCATCCCAAGCTTTGCCAAAGAATAAAGAGTGGCTGAGTGGCTGTGCTTCTTCACAGCATGTTTCTGAGATTTGTCAGTTCTGTCATACTCCTCAGACCTGTGGAAAGGAAGGGAAAGGGGTTTCCAGAGATATTCTGTTCATAATTATAAGGAAATTCACAGCCACACCACATAAAAACCTTCTAATGGTTCTTGCACTGGCACATAAATGGTAGTGAGGAGGATGTAGTTTAAAAATACAACACAGACTTTTTTTCTTATAAAACATTTCAGGAAATCCTGCATTTTAGTGGGAATCTCTCACCTTTGAAGAATGCTGCATTTGAAGAATTTATAATGCTCTATTATCTCTGAGCCTAATTTGCAGTGTACTTATGTAAAGTGAAACTTAGTCTGCAAAGATACTTCTTTCTGAGCGTTCTTATTGCATAGCTATGTAAATGTTCTTATGCAAGTAGAGACAATAATTATGGCTTAAGGCTGTATACATTACAAGCAGGGAATTCCTCATGCATTTAAATACATATTTTAGAAGCAAATCTGGATCTGGTTTCAAAATCCAGAGTGGATTGACACCAGTTTACATCATCAGTATCTGGCCTTTCGAAATTCAGAGAACCCATTAAAAATAAAACTTGTGGTGGGGGGAGACTGGAGTTGTATCATATAGCAAGTGAGCACAGGAATGGCTGGCAGGAGAATGGTATGCTGCAGATGAACTGGATGGGGGACAGATTTGCACTGTTGTAAAACACATGGGAAAAGTCCCTTCTGTTTATTTCTTTTTTTTCACCCCCTTATTAATT